TTATGCAGCTTAACGGTGCTTCTCATTTGAAGGCAGACTTAAATTGATTACAAAATTGGGCTTAAATTGTTTTGAATTCGACAAAATATCTCATCTTTAACTTTATATTTATTTGAAATTTCATAGAGCTTTTAAAGACTGTAATGCATTCAATACATATTCGAAATTAATATTTATACTTAAAAGACTAGAGGATTTTCTTCTAATGTTTGCTTTTTAATTAGGTAACTTATCCTTTACTGAAGAATTTTTAGATTTGTTATAATTTATCATGAATTTCACCAGGAATGCGTCAAAAAAAAGCGAAAGTAGTTTTTTCCTTATTGTGCAAACGATTTCTATGTCAGAAAATTTTGAAAACTGCTCAGCGGGTGATGAGATCTCGTTTTTTCTTTCGCTTCTGTGAGCATCCAAATCACATCAAATAACGTCTTCTAAACATTCCAAGAAGGAAATATTCAACATCGTTACATTTTCATCCCGCCGTGATGAACTAAATTTTGCAGAAAATGGGTGTTGATAGGGTTTTGATCCTTTTTGGAGGTCATGAGAGGCTTGATCGTGACTCAGATGGGAAAAAACCTTTTCCTATTTTTCCGGAGGGTCAAAGTGCATATTAAAACTGTTTTACACACACCTTTTTTTAGGGTAGTCTTCATTTAGACAATAACTTATTAAACGTTTTGGCCTTATTTGTCTCTATTTTGATATAGTAATTGTAATTAATATCAGTAGGTGTATTTGCTATATCTGTCTAAAGATATAAATAAAAATTGCCGCCACTTAAAATAATTTAAATTGGACTGACTAAAAAAAAAATTTTATGACTTTTAATCAGTCTGCTTAAATAATTTACAACTACTATCGATATTGTTAGAGGAAGAAAAAAAATTTCTATTTGTATGATTTTCCTTTTTTTTCTTTTTTTCTTTTCTTTTCTTTTTTTTTTTTTTTTTTTTTNTTTTTTTTTTTTTTTTTTTTTTTTTTTTTTTTTTTTTTTTTTTTTTTTTTTTTTTTTGTAAATAAAAAGTGCCAAGAAACTTATTTAAAAAATAATACTTAAAAAACTAACTTAAAGTTTTGATTGATCTGAATTTATTTCTTTGTATAATTAAATTTAAGTATAAATATCATTATAATTATGGGAATTTTTCTATTTAGCCGTCGCAAGTGATGAAATTACCAGTGAGGAGAAGCCGGGTGTATGTTTAAATTTTTTTGATGAGGTCCATTTTTAATTTTAAAAAAACTAACAAAATAAATAAAATAACTGAATTTATTTGCGCCGGTGAAATGGAAAAATATTTAGTTATTTTTAAAAAAGTTGTTTTCTTGCTGAAAGATTTTTGTTTCATTTTTTCGTATTTAAAGTAAAAACTTTCTAAAATTTAAAAAAAAGTAAACTTAAGTAAGCTTAAAAGAATGGTGAAAACTTTGAATCATTTTATTTGAGTAATTCATTTTTAATATCAATGTTATTATTAATTTGGAAAGAGTTCGTTTTCTATTAGAAAGAATTTTCATTTTTTTCGTAAATAAGCAAAATACTATCATGTCACTTAGTTAAAATTAATAAAACGTAAAAATTTTAGTTAAATTGACTTAATTCGGAAAGTTTGAATAGTTTTGCTTTTGCTAACCATTATTAAACTACATATTATTGCTACTTTATTGTTGTTAAAACTAGTAGTAGTTGTAATATGCAAAATTCGTATAAAACTGTAACTATTTTTTTCATAACTTTTTTCGTAAATAAGCAAAAAAATCTTCATGGCACTTAGTTAAAATTAATAAAACTAAACTGACTTAAAATTCAGAAAACTGAACTAACTTAAACTGGCTTGACTTTCTGAAAGCTTTGCATCGTTTTGTAAAATACAATTATTGTCATTATCAATGTTATTGTAATTATTTTTAGTAAACCGTTTTAGATAGAAACTGTGCTTTAACTTTTTCATTTTTCTTTTGGTAAATAAAACAACTTCCTGGGCAATTTTTAAGAAAATAATAAAAATATATAATAAAGATCTACCTTTAATGGAAGGTAATAAACAAACTCAAAAGAGAATTTGCGAGCCACTTGTTAAAAATAAAAAAAATTTATTGAAATAATAGATAATTTGTTAAATAGGAAATAACAGTGGTAAAAAAATTTTTAAAAATGGGAATCAGGGAAGATAAACGTTGCAGAAGAAGCAGCATTCCATTATTATGTAAAAAAAAATTAAGCGAAATCTGAAAAGGCCCATCAAGCTGTAATTGTTTATTAAAATTTTTTAATTTATTAATTGTTTTACGTCATACAATAAATATCGTACTGGAAGCATTGGATTATTTATTAAAAACTGCCAAACTCACTCTAATTTACAGCTACGTCGTGATAATGATAATCAAGTCTGTATTAAAACAGCTCATTATATTGTTTCATTTAGACAAAATAGCTGATCAAAACAACTCTCACTCTCTTTTTTTCCCATTTAAATTTAAATGGTGTAACAACTTAACCAGAAATAAGTAAATAAATAAATAAAAATCAATGGATGTGGATTGAGTTTGAGGTCCAAGAAAGAAATACCATGCAAGATAGTTTGGGGTATTAAATGGTATTTGCGTAATAAAAAATTAAGTAGTAAAATTTGACTAATCACAATTGAGGAAGGCGTGTGTAAGAAGCATCAAAACCTATTTTATAGTCAATAAAACGTGAAAAAACTGGAAGAAAAATTATTAGAAACGGCTTAAAGTTTAAACTGGCAGTTCAATAGATTTTGAGATTTTGTACATTTGCATTAAAAGTATTATTTCCCTCACTTAGAACTTAATATGTGATCACCAGTCTTAATATTTTTATGTCTCCATTTTAAGCAAAGTCCTCAGAAGATTTATAAAAGAGGTTCATTACATGAAGAAAAAAGTTCTGGTAAAATTACTGTACTTTATGGTAAAGACATTATTAGTAAAAAAATATAATTCTGGTAATAAAACCAATCATATGGTAACGGTTTCCAATCATATGATAACGGTTTACCGGCACCCTGAGTGATGGTGCATTTTACCGTAATTTAATCCGGAATTTTTTTCAGTACACAACATTTTGAAAAATAAGAACTGAAATATTGTTTCATAAATTCTATATTACAAACAAAAATATTTAAAAAATTCTAATTCAATAAAAAAAATTATTTTTTTATCTAGCATTTTATTTCTACACTTTTTTATGAAAAGAATTTATTGAACACACTTAAACAGTGTCTGAAACGTGAGAAACAGATTCCTTACAAATACATCTTTGTAGTCATTCCATAATTTATCTATATAGAAAGAAAAAAGAAAGAAACTTTTGAAGAGATTAATTGCTCCAAAATACAATGTTGCAGACTATCTTACATTTCGGACAAATTTAAATGCATCTTCCATTGTGCGATATGAAACTGTGTCGTCGAATTCGGTCCTTTTTAGTTGAGAAAGGTGAAGGTGATACTTATGAAAATGTATGCAGCCATTCCGAGTTTATTCACCCCCTTTCTGCCTGCCGTGTTTAGAATAATTGAAAAATATGAATGAAGGTCAAGCCATTACTTATATTTTAGACAGATCTATTCTATTAATAACTATGAATTCATGACAGACTGCGAAAGTCATGACAGACAAGATTAACTATTCAAAACTCTCTTTTTAACTGCATTCATGCAGTTTTTAAACTAATGCCTACCGTTGAAAGTTTCCTTTCTTTCTTAATTGTTATAGTATTATCGTTTGCTTCAAATAATAATAATCGTTTTCGTTTCCAATGTTCCAAGATTAAAATAGGCTACAGGACCATTTCAACTGCATTAATATGATTCCTGAACCAGAGTTATAATTTTTTTAATTATTTTTTTTAGTTGTTAGTAAATGAAAAAAATTGAATAAGTTTGTCTTAATTATTTTCTGTGTTTTGTTAGATAAAAAGTAAACACTAAGGCATTATCAATCAAATTAATTTTTAAAACAGTCTGTATTTAATTCAATTTAATTATTAAAGCCTAAATTGTAATGTTATTTTTAGTCATTTTGTGTTAAACGTTTATAAACAAAAATAACTATTAGCTTTCTGTGACCAATTGTTCTAAACAATATAAATAGATGATATTTTAGAATAATTGATAATAGAACATAGAAGAAGGTAAAATCATTAGATTAAATTGAAAATTTAAAATATTTTTCTGATCTATATTCATATATCCAACAACAGATAATGAAATCTTTTTACCCGAGTGTCAAAAAGCGGGAAAAAACATATAAAGCATAAATTTAAAGTTAAAAGAGAATGAACCATAGTAGTACTTAAAAGGTTGCCTTTTAAAGTACTATTATATTGTTAATGACATTATGTTTATTGATTTTTTAAATACATTTGTGTTTTATACATTAATCTAGACTTAATATTTTAATCTTGTATTTCAAGTTAATCTGGATATACTTCTTCTTCTAATTATTTTAGATTAATTTTGTCTTAACAAATATTAATATTTTTAAATTTGTGTTATACTGAGAGTAAAAAAAGATTTCAGATTGTGTATGATATTTAATACATATATTTTATCTATTCCCAATAATTCGCATTTGAGTAGAATCCCTCAAGAGTAATTATTGAAAGATATACTTAGTCATTAAGAAATATTTTAGTTGTCTTTTTAAAGAACTATTTTTATTTATAAACCAATTGGTTTTAGAGTTATCCATGTAATTGCATTTTTACATTAAGAATAAATATTTAACATAAAAAATATGGGTTAGCCACAATTTTTATGGCGGCAGAAAAGAGAAATGTTTTATTTTGTTTTAAAAAAGGCTATAACTATGAATATATATATATATATATATATATTNTTTTTTTTTATCGGTTTTTAAAATTAAATGCTTTATTTATTTATTTATTTATTTATTTATTTATTCATATTAACATTATTCATGAATAACTTATTTATGTATATAGTAACGATCATTTCTTATTTCAGATTCCTGCCATGGACGTGGCTATTTCTAATTGCCAGTGTAGCGTCTTCCTATGATCAACCTTCACCATATAATATAGACTTTTCACCAGAATGTGCTCTGGTATTAAAACAAAGTAAAGGCCACCCATATAAAAGGTCTTTAGACGTAGGGCTTAGCTACATATCACAGTTTCTTCCCAGGTAATTCCAAAAATATAGTTATAATTTATATTATTATTTAATGTATCATTCCAAAGAAATAGTTTTATTCTAATAATGTAGTTGAAATATCGTTAAATAATTTTATGTTCTTATGCATTTTGATTTGGTTAGAGAAAATATTTTTAAGCAAATAAATCAGTCAGCTTGTTTTGTTTAATGTGCCAAATTTTGTAACGAAATATAACTCGTTATCCTGGGAATAAGGAATGCGTTGTTATGATTTCTATTTGATATAAAGTTCAAAAGTTTATTTTACTTAACGTGTGAGCAAGTAGTAGTGATTTTTTGTACAATTTGTTAAAAAAATATCCCTCTAATGTAAGGTTTCAAATCTTAAATTGACGCCAATACCTTTTATTGATTAGCACTTGAAATGTTCCCGCCATAACAAACATTCAATATCTTTAAAACTTTTCGAAAATTAATTCAATTTATCGGATTTAAGAACAGAAATGCTCAAATAAACTTTAAATATGCTTTTTATTCATTACTACAAAAATTATGAGCCCACTCGTCATAGTTCATGTACTATATCCAGCCTTCCTGCATTTTTGTATAGGTTTATGCTGTAGCATACAAATTGTGTTATGCGCTGTAAAAACTGTGGGGGAATATCTCTCCAAATATGGTGTTGGACAACCCAAAAAAATTGTGTTAAGGAGCATTTTATTCTGGACTAACACCGAATCAAACATTCATGTACGATTAAATGGCTCATAATACAGTTTAAAAAGCGTAATTTAAATCAAAACACGTAAAATTGAATAATCTTGCAACAAAATCTCAAACTTTAATCCCATACGAAAGTTATTTTCACTTCCGAAAACACCAATGTTGGCGTGTTTTGAGTATGAAAAAACTCCAAGTAGAATATCACCAGTAGTTTGTTTGCTATTTATCATTAGCTAAGAGTTTGTTTGTCATTTTCAGTGCTAATATTTATCAACAGAAACAAAAATTTGTCGTTGAATATCCATCTATGTTTTTAGTTATATATTCAAGGAATAGCTGTTTTTATCCCTTGAACAAAAAATAAGACAAAAATATTATTATGCGAATCGCAGTTTTTAAAAAAAGGTATTTTTGAGACGCTTACAGCTTTTTATTTTGAAAACTTTCAACCAAATTATGCAATTTTTAGAGAAAGGTCTTTTTGAAACACTTGCAGCTCTTTATTTTGAAAACTTTCAACCAAATTATACAATTTTTAGAGAAAGGTTTTTTTTTGAGACACTTGCAACTCTTTATTTTGAAAACTTTCAATCAAATTATACAATTTTTAGAGAAAGGTTTTTTGAGACACTTGCAGCTCTTTATTTTAAAAACTTTCAACCAAATTATACAATTTTTAGAGAAAGGTCTTTTTGAGACACTTGCAGCTCTTTATTTTGAAAACTTTCAACCAAATTATACAATTTTTAGTGAAAGGTTTTTTTGAGACACTTGAAGCTCCTTATTTTGAAAACTTTCAATCAAATCATACAATTTATAATTTTCTTTCTTTCAAGTTTAAAGTTTAGTTGAGATATTTTAAGTATTATTGAAATTATATGTGTCCAATAAATTACAGAAACATTTTGTAATTTAATGTGAAATTCACCAGCAAAATAGTGAAATATTTACTTTTCATATTTAAAAGTTACAAAAATTATTTTTTAATACTTTTAAATTGATTGTTTTTAACCAATTTGAAAGAGAATTGATTTCGGTTATTAAGGTACAAACTTGAACCGCATTATTTTAACTTAAAGCCATTTTGTCGAAAAAGTTTATTGCAATCAAATCTATTAATTTACACATCACTGTGGTTAACAACAATACAACCATACTAAATACATACTATAGTGAAATAACATAAGCCAATAATTATAACAATAAAGAGTACGGCTATACAAATCTGATTATTTCTGCGAACAAACCAAAGTCTAGCTTTTAAATGATAAGAGCATTCTTCAGCCATTTCTATCAAGCACTATTAACTGCAAGAAATATCAAAACGTTTTATGATAAAAAGCAGCAATGAGAAATGTATATTTATTATTTAAATCCTTATTATATTTTTATTTATTTATTTTTCATAGCTGGCAAAATGAAACTCCTGACCAAACATGCATTAGGTATGAAGATATTAACAGAGCTCTCCATGAAGCAAAAAGGAAATTCGGTAAGCAAATCAAGGGATGAAATGCATTTATTTTTAAATATTGTATTATTAGAAATCTTATCATCAACCCCAAATGCTCTATATCAGATATTAATACTTTACCCAATGTATATAAATATTTTATTTTTATTTTATAACCGTCATTGAGCAGCCAACCCAGTTTCTTGGGTTTAAGACGAGTAATATTCAGCTCCGCAGCCTCATAATTTTGAACCTTATCCGGAAAACTGCTGGATCAAGTATTGAGAGAAATTTGCCTTCGAGGTCGATTTTTTGATGGAACTAGATCGCATTTGCTTTACATGCAGATGAAAACTACGAAAACCTCCTACGGTTAGACTGGCGGCAAGGAGACTCTAACCCATGATCCATCTACCACTAAGGATATTTTACGTCCGATACGAGACGGGTACGGAACTCGTTTTGATCAGTCATCGCTCAGATTCGAACCCGGTTCGCCTAATTCGAAAGTAAACGCTCTGTCCCCTGAGACACTACGTCTCTATATAAATTTTAAAAATAAAAAATAAAAACTATAATTATACGAACAAAATTCCTCTTTCTTATTTTCTGTTATTTTCATTGTTAATAACAGGAGGTTACCGCCTCCTGCAGGATGCTGCTTGCCAAACTCATTAGAGCAAAAGATTATTGCTTTGCAAGAGTCCTTGATTTATAACTATATACATATTTATAAAACAAAGTTGAAAAGTTTCAATCAAAGGAACACAAAATGTTTTATTCTAAACACAGAGTTTGTTCCAAACATTTTGTTCCCGACTCTATCAGAATAATAATTAAACCTTTTAATTTTGCTCCATCATTATTATAACACCTTTAAATTCTTATTTGATTTAGGTTACTACAAAAATATGAGATTATTGAACAATGAAAAATAATTTAACAATAATGAAAAAAAAATTTCTATAATTATTTTTAAAATTTAAATAGTTATTTTTAATAATCATTTTTGTTAATGATTTTTAATAATTATTTTAATTGCATAAGTTGACAATAACTTATCGATGAACATAATTTATCAAGACCAAAATGGAATCCAATTGCCGTTTAATGATTGTGAAACGACTGTTTATCAAAAGCTGTTTATCAAAAAATGTTGGGTAATAAGGTTTTATCACTGAATCACTTTATAATATAATGAAAAAAACTTTAGTTTTAAACATTTTATTTTATTTACAACTGTTATAATTGTTATATTCTATTTCAATAAAACAAAATTCATAGAGCAAAAATAGAACAAAAATATCTGAAAAATCAAGATAATTTAAACATAAATAATTAAAAATAGTGAAGACAACTTCGACTAATATATATTAAATATATCTACAATCAAAATCAAGCAGAATGAAAAATACCGTTAAATAAAAGATAAACAAATAATTTACATCTAAATACTGTAATAACTTTTTATTAATTTGTTTCTGATGATAGACAAAAATTTCCAGTTCTTTTTATTTAAAGGGTCCCATTATGTAATTTTTCTGTCCAAACAAATGCACAAACAACCATGAAAAAAATAAAGCATGAGCAAAGTTTAATTAATGTTAGTAATATAATACAATATTAACTTTGTTTATTTGTCATTCTATGTGAGTTAGAATGCTTAAAAAACATGAACAAATTTTATATAAAATAATTTAATTTACCATTTCCATATGTACCTAAATTTTTTTCATGCCTACTAATAGACTTACTAACATACAATTTAGTTTTAGTTGTTATGTGCTACCTATATTTTGTTTAGAAATTAATATTTATCAATTTCTGGCGAATTAGGAAGAGCATTGTTACAGTTTCAACTCTTTCGGAACAGTGCTACTATTTTTAAATACTTCGTTTTGCTATAATGTTCAACCATTTAGTTACTTAACCAGATTCAGATTTTTTTCAAGAATTTTGAAACTTTGTCGTAATGCTGTGCTCAATTACATTAACTTATAGACATCCTGTTACTCTTTGTATTTACTAGGCCATTTTTATTAAGTGCTGTAATCAAAACTCTCCGTAACTCCGAAATACCATTTCGAATTAGCGTTTTAATGTTATTTATTTATTTATTTATTTATTTATTTATTCTTTCATTCATTTATTTATTTATTTATTTATTTATGTTCTTATATAATTCAGTTCACCCACAAAAAACAAAATTGATTATCAATCCCTTTCATCCTCAAGTTTTAACTTTAATGATCATTGTATTGCCTTAAATAAGGCAAAAAATAATGTATTTAAAAGAATAATAAATTTTATAAGGAAACTGTAATTAAAAATAGAAAAAAATATCGAATATTTTAATAACTTAAAAGCAGTGTAACTCCGATGATTTATAAAATAACTTTCAATAACGTTACAATTCTTAAAATGTGGTTAATAAATTTTAATATTGAGAATACTATCTACTAAATTATTAAATTCAAAACATAATTGTAATTTTTATAATGTTATTCAGTTTTAAAGAACGTTGACGTTTTTAACTATTGATATTAATTAAGGCAAATGTTTGATCTATTAATACAATATATTCACAACTTTTGAACACTGATATTTCATTAATATGCTGTTATGATGGTTAAGAATACTTAAATGAGTGATTTGAATGAATTTAAAATGAGTGATTAAATTAAAGGAACTTTTTTTCGGTTGCATAATATTTTTAACAATTTTAGGATACTTTCGTTTCACTGATTGTAAATTTGCAATCGGTTTCTCTCTCCAGTCAACAGTTTTTTTAAAGTCATTTTTAGTCTATTTCTTGTCGAAATGTACAAGTTTTTAAATGTTATATATGACAAGAGGTCGCTTAAATGTTGCGACCAATTTCTAGAATAGTTAGGGCACATCATCAAGATTGAAATTGCATAGGAATCCTTGCCCAGAAATGTCATCATATTCCACTAGAGCAATTTTTTTAATATGAACACTTTTTTTCTGCTTCTAAAAAGGTCATAATTAAGGCCCGGGTTTTGATGACATTTGCATTTTTTTTTTCATTTTTTGCATTTTTGGACATTTTTTGTCCTTTAGAGCATTTTTTGAGATTTATAGGGCATTTTCTTTAAATTTTGAGGTGTATTTTGCATTTTAAAGCATTTTTTAAATTTTTTGTTAATTTTTTCTGATTTTTATTATTTTTTATTATTACACTTGCTTCCAAACAATGAAGAAAATCTCGAGGATATTAAAAGGGGAAGCAACATTCTTTCAAATTGAAGAAGAATTGTCAGTAAGTGTGACCGTCCTTTTCAAGTACGCACCAATAACGTCAGTAGACGTTGAAAGAAGCTTCTCCTGGTATAAAAATTTGTTTTCAGACAAGAGACGCTCGTTTACATTTCAAAATATTAAAAAAAAATTTTTTAATCCACTGTAATTCTGATATTTAGTAATATTATGAGATGGAAGTTGTTTTATTCATTTAAGTTTCTATACAAAATGAAAATGTTTGGGAGTCAATATATTTTCCTTTTTTTTATTATTTTAGGATATAAAACATATTTTTCAAACTTTAATGAATGTAGAACAAGTATTGCATTGCTTTATATTTTTTGAAACGTCTCATAATAATTTTAAAGAGTAAAACATTGTTTTAGTTCAATATTTTTATTTCTATTTAAGTCATGTCATAAGGTATTTTCAGAGCAATTTTCGCATTTTAAGGGCATTTTTTGCATTTTTAAGGGCATTTTTTGCAGTTTGTAAGGGCATTTTTTGCAGTTTGTAAGGGCATTTTTTAGGTCATCAAAATCCGGGCTCTAGTCATAATGAAAGCGCACCTAGCTACGAACAACGACTATTCCAGGCATGGATTCATTATGAAATTTTAATTCTGATGGGGAGCACTAACTCCTCTAGAAGTTTGTTGCAACAATAAATTTCAACCGCTGTTATATATTACGTTATTAAAATTGTGCATTTCGTTTAAAAAAAATAGACTAAATATGTCCTTTTAAAACAAATCCGTAGCTTTAGAAGCAAAACAAATTTCAGATTTGAATTCCCCACACCCGAGTTAGGCAATAAGGATTATTTCGATAAATGCAACAATAAATTTGTTTTCCAGCATTATTATTAAAATTTTGTTTGTGACAACGCCTTGTTTATGTAAATGTTAACTCTTCGCATGAATTGAAATTTCGAAATAGAGACCCATATTCAAAGCAATGGATATTTTGAAATAACTGCCAATATAATGTATCCCAATACGTTATTCAACTTGCAAATAAATATTTAATATGCGTCTTTCAGTCTGAATTATCATTTAATTAAGTAGATGATATGATAATAATAAATAGGACTGTTTATTTGGTCTAGGTTAATTAACTCCCATTATTCTTCGACCTAAATGACCACATTTAGTAGCTGATTTTTTATCAGCTTGATCATTTAATTGAAATGTCAGCGAACTCAATCGCCATTGGCTATTTTCACCTTTTCAATTAACGAGTGAAAGTTGATGACAGACGTATTCAAATTCAGCCTGTTACTTGTCAGCAAAATGTCAACACCTATAACTAGTATATTATTAAGTGATTTAACATAGGTTAATAATAATTAACATGAACAAAAATTGGATATTTTAATTGTATCAAAAAATGTATTAATAATACGTTTAAAAATAATTTAGATAATAATTTAATAACTTTAAGTCATGAAAGTCAGCTTAACTTTCCAATTTCTTACAAAAGTGAGGATTTTTTTTAAAATTTCCTCTAAAATTACTCTAATTTTGTTTCATAATTGTTAAGTTATGAACTTTCATTTTTATGGCCGTTGGTAGTTTTTCCATTTATCATTCATTTCATTTGATTTTCAAAATTATAATCCTTATTGCTATAAACTTAATAAAATATACCAAACTGAAAAGATTTAACAAAATAAACTGCTTTTAAGCCCTGGTATCATGATAAAATTACAAAATTTTACTACATTTTATCACATTATTAAAGCATATTTCATTGCTAATTTTACCAAAATCATTC